TTCAGGACCTCAGACCAGCTCTTTGTCTGTCATGGAGGGAGCCAGAAGGGAAGGGCTCTCTCAAAGCAACGGCTGTCCCACTGGATAGTGGATGCCATTGCTTTGTCTTACCAGCAGCAAGGCCTTCCGTGCCCCCTTGGTGTGACGGCCCATTCCACTCGGAGTGTAGCCTCCTCTTGGGCTTTAGCGCACGGCGCCTCGCTAACAGACATCTGCAGAGCTGCAGGCTGGGCGACACCCAACACCTTCGCCAGATTCTATAATCTGCGAATTGAGCCGGTATCCTCTCACGTACTCGTTTCGGCCAGTTCTGGATCCGCTCAGGTGTCTTCGCTTGCTCGCCACTCCACTCCCCGGACTGGATAAGTGCGATATTCCTCAGTTCTTCCATTGAAGTCTTGAGTCCTCCAGCACCGACGATGCGGGCACCACTGCGTTGCTCTGGATGCTAGCTAGGTGCCTCCATGCGCACGGTTCCCCATGGTAACCGTCTCATGTGTATTATCCACTGTAAGCCTCTCTGAGCATGTGTCTTCCCTTGGCAAGCCATCTGCCACCCCTGGAGTTTAAATCAGTAGCCACCTGCGGTTGGTACTCCAGTGTTCCATATGCGTTCCTATGTGGCCATATGTGTATTCATAAGTCCTCCCTTCGGTAGGCAGCTGGTAGCATGTCCCCTTCGGGATATGTTTCCCAGTGTACCTTGGTAATCCTGTGTCGAAGTCGGATCCCCAAAAAAAAAAAAAAAAAAAAAAAAAAAAAAAAGAGGTAAGGCTCGGGGGTTCAGTCTTTCGCAGGGCACTGGAAGACAGCTTGAAGATGGCGTGATGGCACAGACCCCCAATCTCCGTCACTTCTGACGTAACTCGAAGTGACTACGAAAGGGAACGTCTCGGTTACGTATGTAACCCTCGTTCCCTGAGTAGGGAACGGAGACGTTACGTCTCCCTGCCACTTCTGCTGTATCGCTGGGTAGATGCCGAGTTCAGTCTTGGCTCCTCAGCGAAGACATACTGCGGTTGCGTTCACTTCCTCCTTTTATACTCACGGAGTAGGGTGGAGTACGCTATGCAAATTTCCGCAGCCCCAAGGCATTGCATGCCATTGGCTCGTGTTTAAATACTCGAAGAGGATTGGCTTTCTATGCGAAATCCCCCAATCTCCGTCACTTCTGACGTAACGTCTCCGTTCCCTACTCAGGGAACGAGGGTTACATACGTAACCGAGACGTTTATTAGTAAACAATTAAATCTCTCCTTGCTATTTTTTTACACATTCATAATCTTAGCCTACTTTTGCCTGCTCGTGCGCTTGAGTTCAGCTTTATAACTCTCATTATCCTGTATAGCCTATTTAAAGGTGCCATATGTAATAATTGGGGTAAAAATATCCAGAAAATGAGCTATACACTCATCAAAAGAATGAGAAGAAATAAGTGCTATGATGTCATTAAAAAATTGACAAGTTATAGTGCTGCTGAGATATAAACCTAAATTAGAATGCTAAATTACTAGCCCCGGCCCGGCAGGTGTCGTAATACCAGTTTCGGCCATGGGAGGCGGTATGCGGGCGGGGAACATTACCACCGGCCAAACTGCAATAGACGAGTAACTCGCGTCTCGCGCGGCTTGTGTGTGTACTTGAACCTGATGTCAGTCGTGTGGAAATACAGCCCACTACTACATTTCAGTTCAGGGAAGAGTTCAAAAAATGATTTGTCAACATTATGCATGAGGAATACATTTTGATAAGTTGTAACAAACTGTATCTTTCAACAGTGTTCATGTTCTTTTTCCATTAGCTAGTAGAGACGATCGGTTCACGTGCGCTAGGGATCTGTGGTGTAACATGTACAAGCGCCAAAACGGTATTTATTGTTTGAATTGCATAATAAAATTGACATAAGCTGAGAGCTTAACTAACCTGCTTACTAAGTGTCAATTGCGTGTGTCTCACGGTGAATTCGTGAGAGTTGGCAGTTCTGAATGGCGCTAGCTTGATCAACATTAGCGAATGCCATAGGCGTCATTTAAGGGGGGGACATGTCCCCACCACTTTTTGCCAGGGTCGATTTTGTCCCCACCACTTTTGAAACATCTCGCGGCACAGATGTACCAATACAAATAAAACATTTCCAGTTAACAGCAATCGTTTAATTTGTTTGTTAAATAACAGGCGATCTAGCACTGAAATGCGTTGTCTTCTCTCGGAAACGGGCTTCAATCCGTTGCGGAGATTCGTTCCGGTGAAATCACAAATCAAAATGCACACAAACGTGTCCCTTTTTCTCATGGGTTCTAATCCGCTCTCGTATATTTTTTTTCCCCTCATCAAAACATATACAACCACTGATAAAATTATATCAATTCAACCACTGATAAACATTATTGGTTTTGATGAGGGGAAAAAAACTATACGAGTGCGGATTAGAACCTCGAACCTCCCGAGTCCCGACACGCTAGGCAAAAATTCTACCCCTGGACCACCACTGTACATAGGCAATAGAGGGCGTATATACTCTATATACTCACTATACTCGGACATTGTGCTCATTTTTATTTATGTACATCAGGAAGCTACAGGACATCGTCTTTCAAAACATGACCTACTCGAAAGAGAAAAAAACGATGAATGCGTCATTGTACCCAGCACTTTTGAAAATGCCCCTCCGAATACGTCTCTCCCCAGCACATTTCAAACCAAACTGACGAATGCTGTCTGTCAAATTAATTCAAACTAACAATAAAAGTGTAATATGAACAAAACGAATACCGTAAACTTAAAATAATACCCCAGGCTTTTATTTTCCCATATCGTCGAAATGCACCAGCTTGTTTTTGAGACAGGCGTCTATGAGACGGTCATCATTTAGTGTTGAGATGTTGTTCATTGAGTCTCTGATCTCTAAAAATCTCCAAATGCTCCACGTGAACCTGTGGACTTCCAACCTTTTACTATCGTGTCAAATGATTTGAATAATATGCGGAGAAAGAGAGAGCAAAACAGTGCTCGCTTGTGTTGTTTGAAGATGTGAGACGCCGCCACGGCACAACTCATTTTCTGGAGGTATACTGCCCCCATCTGTTATGGAAAATGGAATATGTTTTGATTTTTAGTTCCAGAAGGGGCGATTTGTCTACTAATGGCTTAAATAAACAAATACTAGTCGACTAGAAAAAACTTTAGTCAAGGCAGCCCTTATCCACATATTTTTGAGCCAGCAGGGTTGAGCGCGCGACCGAGCGGAATGAGCAAGCTTTTTTTTTTTTACATTTTGACACAGCTGCACTTTTATTTTCTCTATTTTTCGAATTCCATGCAAGTTGTGACACAGCTGCATTTGTATTTTCTTTATTTTTTTACTTGCTGTTATGTTATTTGATGTAGATAGTTAGTTTGTATAGATACTATTTCAATAACTTGGGACATTTTCAGCTTGTTGCGTTTTTATTTAGCATTGTGTTGGGGCAATGGGGGCAGTGAGGCTTGAAAATCCCCCCTTGTCCAGAGTGGGGAATGACAGAAAAGGTTTGACAACCACTGCATTAAGTCAAACAACTACGTCAGATCATTGTCTTCCCTGGACTTTGAAATTTGGCCGCAAAATTGAAACGAGTCCATCGGTGCAGAAAAAAAGAAGAAAAAAATGTTTAAATCACTTTATAAGGAGGCAAAGAAATTACTGGTCTAACTTCTCCCTCTTTTTAAAGTGTGGAAAAGGGAAAAGAAGTTCAAAGATCGAGACTCCAGCAACACCTGTAGTAGCCTATATGCAACAACTTTATTGAAGATTTTTTTATATTGGGGTTAGATTGTATACAGTTGCCGGTTTGCGGTTGAAATACTCCATTGTTAAGTGCAAGGCAGGGTCCCAAAATTATCCTGCGTATAGATTTACAGAGCCGGCCCTGATGATTATGGCTAAACGTAATCACCATCTGAACACCATTCTCTTTGTAATTTAAGGGTCAAGAGCCCAACTAAAGCAAACACTGATCACCATAATGGTCAATCAGTGGTCAATTCAAGAATGGTCAATCATCACATAATTAATAACATAATTATCGAATTAATTTTAACACTCTTCAGTGTTCATTTAACACTCATATTTGAACACTTTAACTCTTTGATTGTGGAGTCAAATAAACTCCCAGGAGAGTTAATTTAACACTGGAGTTTTTGCTGTGTAGGAGAACAGTCTTGCTTTAACACGTCACATTACAAGAACGTTTTATAAAATGCACTCCGTCATCTCAGGCCTCAATGATATCCTCAAAACATTTAGCGAACGTTGATTTGATAATGTTTCTCCTTTGTTATTATGGAACATTGTATAATCTTTTATCTCAACAACTTTCCCAAACCATCCTCAAAATGTTACAGTTAAAAGGTTATATCTTAGTTTACATTTAACTTTATAGAAACATTATTTGAAAAGGGAAAACATCCTTAAAACATTATTTGAACATTTCTTTAAAATATTAACCAAATAGGGAATGTTAGTGTTCTGAGAATGTTCTCTGCTAGCTGGGAAGACCTTTGTTCAATATGTTTCATCGCCAACTAATTGCCTGGCAGTGTTTTAAGTCGATTTTGAAGATCCGTTTGAACAGAGATCGTTTTGGACAATTGTGTCGTCTGTATGCAGAAAACTCAAAAGAAACACTTCCCAGTTTTAATCATATCGTTTTCTTGTAAACGTACCGTGGTAATGTGAGTGTAGTTGTTTTTCTTGTTAACTGAAAGACGCTCCACTATCCCCTACCCAAAATGCTTGGATGGTGTTGTATTTCTTTTGAAGTAGGTTAATGTATATACTCTAACACAACACAAAAATTAAAGGATTTGCAAGCATTCAACAATAAATCCAAATTCACAGATATGTTTAATTTATAATGAAAATACTGTTGTTTTATGCATATTTCATAAGATGTGTTATCTTGACTTTAGCTTCAGTTATAGGATTGCATTATTATCAATTATGTCTATGTGAGACTCACCAATCAGAGGGATTTTATCAGCTGTAGAGGGCAGCGTGTCATTAAGAATCAGCAGCATCACAGAAATAGACAGCAGTAAAGTCACTTTAAAGCTCAGCTTGTCTGATCCACTTGTGTCAATGAAGAAGGAGGCCACATCCAGCACAAGGAAGAAACATACTGGTAGGATAATGTTGGTGAAATACAATAGAGGTCTCCTTTTAATTGTGATCTGCCATGAAGAGAAAACACATCAAATTGCACCAATCAAAAAAAAAAAGAAATTTTTACTGCAATCATGAGATTGACTGCACAAATTTGTCTGAATAATTTAGAAGTTACATTGTATGTGCAAAACCTTATGCTGATAACCCACATAGCAATATTTTGACGTCCCAGATCCAGCCCACATCTGGCACATGTGGAAAACTGATCTTTTAATTAATTAATGGCCCACATGCAGCAATGACGGCCCTTGGGTAACTTACTACTGTTTGCCAGATCTGGGCCACAAGCATTTGTGATAATCTTGGCTCTGTCCCAGCTAACAGAATTTTGTTTTAAGAACGTTCTTTAAATATTCAGTGTTGGTTCTGGGAACGTGAAAAATGTCCAGTTTTCTTGACGTTAGAGGAACGTGTTTTAAAAGATATAATGTTCCTCAAACGTTCATTAAACGTAATCTTCGATTAAAAATTCAACATGATAGTAATGTTGATTTCTAACATTCCAAGAACATAAACATGTCCAGTTTCCTGAATGTTACTACACAGCAAAGACAAAAAAAGAGTGTTAAAATTTGAGTGTTAAATAAACACAGAAGAGTGTTAAAGTTAATGTGCTATTTAAGTTATTGAATGAGTGATGATTGAGCATTATTGATGACACCTGATGATAACAAGCAGAATCAATGAAAAAGAAAACTTAAATTTTAGTCACCATTATGGAGATCAGTGTTTGGTTTAGTTGGGCAGTTGACCTTTACATGTTGAACTTTAGATTTTGTTTGGCTGTCATACATGAGTTATGGCAGCCAGATGAACAAAGTGAAAAGGTGATCTGATGTTGTTGGTTATGTTATAACATAATCGTTATTTCACAATCATATGACCTTAATCACTGAAATCAAGCAGTCCTAATCTCTGATTAGAATGTGTATTGGTCATTGCAGAATCAAATTGATTTAACTGTATAAGTTCCAGGTTGTTCAATATAATCTAAATGATTTCTTTAAAGTTGTTCTGATCAAGAGTCATTAAAAATGAAATTGTTGTTGACACACAGATATCAATAATCAGCCTGTGATTCTCAACAATGGTGACAATAATAAAGCATGATGTAGTGCACCTGGGTGCCACCAATCAAAACTCAAAAAAAAGTTTTCCTGATAAAAAAAATATTTCTTTCAGGCACACAGACATATAGATTCAATATATGAATCTCCACAATGGTGACAAAAAATATTCGATTAGGAAAAGGAGATTTGTAAGACAATTTAGATCATAATTTATTCGTGCCGCTATGTATGATGGGAACTATGAATGAGTTTTGATTGGTGGCACCCAGAATGCAATGCAACATGCTTTATTATTGTCACCATTGTAGAGAATCACAGGCTGATTATTGATATCTGTATGTCAACAACAATTTTATTTTTAATGACTTTTGATCAGAACAACTTTAAAGAAATCTTCTGGATTACATTGAAAAATTGGGATTTTATGCTGTTAAATCACTTTGATTCTATAATGGCCAATATACATTCTAATCTGAGATTAGTACTACTTAAATTCAGTGATTCACGTCATATAATTGTAAAATAATGATTATGTTATAACATAACCAACAACATCAGATCACTTTTTTCACTTTGTTTATCTGGCTGTCATAATTTATGTACAGCAGCCAAACAAAATCTAAAGTTAAACATGTAAAGGTCAACTGTCCAACTAAACCAAACACTGATCTCCATAATGGTGACTAAAATTTGAGTGTTCTTCTTCAGTGATTCTGCTTGTTATCATCAGGTGTCTTAAATAATGCTCCATCATCACTCATGTTCTTGGAATGTTAGAAATCAACATTACTGTCATGATGAATTTTTTATCAAAAATAACGTTTAATGAACGTTTGAGGAGCATTATACCTTTTGAAAACACGTTCCTCTAACGTCAAGAAAACTGGACATTTTTCACGTTCCCAGAACAAACACTGAATATTTAGAGAACGTTCTTAAAACAATTCTGTTCTAAAAACATTCTGTTAGCTGGGGTGTTATTATTGTTTATAAATGAGTTGACTGAAGACAGTTATTTTTTTTTTCATAAAAAATGTATGAATGGTTTATTTTTATATAACCTAACCTTGTGTTTGTGTTATATTTCACTTTTACATGTGAAATCTTTTTTTTTTTTTTTGCTTATTCTATTCACTGAGCTTTTCCTCCCCAAATGACTTTGAAGATACAAGTAAATGCCATTTTTTTATAAAATTCAAGAAATTATCCCTTTACAAAAATTAAGTTTAAACACACTGCAATGCATCCTGCAGCTAAACAGGAGGCCTGGTTGAATCATCCCACGCAGACTATTACCTCACAATTTGTTAAATTGAGGGATCAGTTTAATAATTTGTGAGAACAGTTCATAAATATTCCAAATGGAATGGATTGGAAGGAATGGATTTAAGCTAAATGTATTAATGTTGCAATGCATGCTGGGAGTCATGGCTGATTTATTTTGTTTGTACTATGCTGGTACCCAATATGCATTGCAGCATGGAACTCATGATTGTCCCTATTGTTGAGATTCATACACCACCAATTCTTGATGACAATAAAAGAGATCAGTGACACTAGTTGATAATTGTGACTATTAACAAGCAGCCATTGTCATCAGATCCTGAGTGAGATTATAGGGTGTGATTTTGAACACAGCCTCTGCTAATTCACTGCTAATTTGAGCACTGCTAATTCACAGTATATTCCTGTAGGCTACTTAAAAGTGTGCGTGTGCTCTATACCTGATATATCAGCTGATCATAGTCATAGTTATAGAACGCATTGGTGGTTTCAGCTCTAGAGATATTTATGTTGAGGAGTTCCCACTCTCCTTGGGCATCAAAGAATTCTCTGGAGTCCACTGTGACGCTGGGTGCATTGTTGAGTGGATATATTAGAAGATTCTTTTCTTTGGGTACAAATGTAAACATTGTGTTATTTATTATTAAGTCAAACTATTCAAAATATTTTATGTTTCATTAAATGTATGAATTTATAATTTATGTGTTTGTTCTGCCGGATTCATGGTTTTCAGATACTTCTGTTTTCAGATACTTTCAGTACTTGTATGCGTTGGAGACTGAAGTGTTATACTGCATTTTTGGATGTCGAAGGGAAACCTGAAGAGATCCATCTTACAGGCTGTGGTCAGAGCTAAAACATTAGATGTGACTAAAAGGTCCCAATGTTGTATCTGCACATATGGTGACTCATTTGTTCCAAACTCTGTCTTGATGCTAAATGGATAAAGGAAAAAAAAGTTTATACTGTAATATTAAAGACAAGATTAATTGAAATAAAACCAAACCTGCATGCTACTGAGGGTTGATAATGTGAGTAAAACGACCCCAAAAGATCATTGTGATGTTCATCTGGAATAACTAGAGAAGTATGATTAACCCTTAAGAACCTGAAGCTTTTTTTTTCACATATTTAGATTCTAGAAAAAAAAATCTAAAACAATATGCTATCTTCATGTGCAAGGTGTCACCTTTTTCAGAAAAAGATTAGCTTTCAACAAATTACAGTTATTGACTAATATTGTGTGACGTGAGTTTGTAAATAGAATTTAAATGGACAAAAATAAACAAGAATACATTTTCATATTTGTAATAATAATACAAAAAAAACAGAAAAATCACACAGCAAAATCCCCAGGATTAAATTAACACTGCTCCGTGTTTATGAGTCAACACTCAGAGAGAGTTAAATGAACTGAAGCAGTCCTAAAGGTAATGAGATGATTAAGTGATTCATTTAGTGATGATTGAGCATTATTGAAGACACCTGATGTTAACAAGCAGAATCACAGAAGGAGAAAATCGTAATTGGTATGTTACCATTATGGAGATCAGTGTTTGCTTTAGTTGGGCTCTTGACCCCTTTAGATTTTGTTTGGCTGCTGAATGTGACGTATAACAGCCAGATGAATAAAGAGAAAAAGTGCTGAAATGGTGTTGGTTGTACTTTAACATAATCATTCAATCACCATCATTTGTCCTGAACTCACATAGAGCACAATTTCTGAGTTAAGCTTTCTTTATTGATCGTAGCATCAGTGTCTATGAAAAGCACAATATTTTATATACTTTCACAATGTAATCAAAATAATTTTTTTAAACTTTATCACAAAGAACCTTTTCTGTTTATACACCAAGAATCAGCCTGTGAATGTCAACAATGGTGAAAATTATAAAGCATTTTGCAGTGCAATTCTGGATGGCATAACACACATTAGGGCTGGGCGATATATCGCATCATATTGTAATGCGCATCTCGTCAGTAAAGCCGGTTCCTTGATTAGTAGTAAATCACCTTCACCTGCTTTCAGATAGATTGGCATTTGCTACAAAGAGCCGTAGTTCACTGACAAGCATATCGCATTAATATCGAGGACGTATCACCAACGAAATTTAATGCGATATGGCTCAGCTTGTCAGTGAACTATGGCTCTTCGTACACAGCAAAAACTCAGTGTTAATTTAACACTCCTGGGAGTGTATATGAGTACACACTCAATAGTGTTAAAGTTAATGAGATAATTAAGTGATTCTGAATCTAAAATTGTAAGCCACCATTATGGCGATCATTGTTTGCTTTAGTTGGGCTCTTGACCCTTATATTATTGACTTTAGATTTTGTTTGACTGTTGTATCTGAGTTATACCTGCCAGATGAACAAAGAAAAAAAGTGATCTAATGGTTTTGGTTACATTATAATCATCAATTGAAATTTATGTTTGTGATGTATGCTGTTGGTTACAGAATAACTGTGATTCTGCATAAACATCCAGATTTTTAGATATAATATAATGGATTTCTTGAAAGTTGTTTTAAAAATAAAACCTTCATTTTAGGCACACACAGACCTCAAGATTCAGTCAATGCATCTCAACAATGGTGATGAGCAGAAAATTCAATTAGGAAAAGCAAATTTCATAGACAATTCAGATTATAATTTATTCATACCGCAATGCATGATGGGAGCCATTAATGAGATATAATTGGTGGCAGCCACTGCAACATGCATTATTATTGTCACCATTGTTGAGACTCACAGGCTGATTATTGAAGTGTGTTTCTACATAAATTCAATGGAAAGTGTTTCGATCAGAAAAAATTGTATTAAACATTTCGGATTATAAGAAAAGTAATTATAATCATATGCTATAGAATCACAAAGCTATTGCTAATAAGTTAAACTAAACTATCTCAATAAGTTTCATTATACATATCAAAGCATGATTATGCCACAACATAACCAACTCTATCAGATCACAGTTTTCTTTGTTCATTTGACTGTTATAAATCAATAACAGCAGACAAACAAAATTTTAAGTGAAAGTATAAGGGTCAAGAGTTCAACTAAAACAAACACTGATCGCCAAAATGGTGGTTTACAATTTGTGATTTTCTCCTTCATTGATTCTGCTTGTTAACATCAGGTGTCTTCAATAATGCTCAATCATCACTAAATTAATCACTTAATTATCTCATTAACTTTAACACTCTTAAATGTTAATTTAACACTCATATCTGCATCATATCTTCCATCTGAAAGCAGGTGAAGGTGATTTACTACTAATCAAGGAAACAGGACGCACATAACAATGTCATGCAATATATCGCCCAGTCCTAACTCACTTACAACAGCCATTTTAAATCTAAGGTAATTTTAAAATTACTCCAAACTTTCAGGATCAACACCCCAACAAAAGAAAACACTGATCTCCATAATGGCAACGTATAAATTACGATTTTCTTCTTCAGTGATTCTGCTTGTTAACATCAGTTGTCTTCAATAATTGTTCATTTTCACTCAATTAATCACTTAATTATCTCATTAACTTTAACAGTGCTTCAGTGTTCATTTAACACTTTCTCAGTGTGGACACTCTGTGTGGACACTGTGCTAATTTAATACTGGGGATTAGTATACTGTGTAGTATTTTATACATAGACCAGATTTTATCACTTGCAAAACTTAAATTTGAACAATTTAATTTAAGTGTGAACACAACCTCTGAAATGCTATCATTTATAATAATTTCTGTCCTTTCATTAAGTGAGAAAAAGTTCTGAGAGGAGTATTTTTTATACCTTTCTAATATTCCAATGTCCGGAGTCCAAAACACATTTTTGGGGAATGGAAGCGTGTCAATTCCACAATAATTTTCTGGACGCCATGAAAATTTTTCATCCCTCCATGCCTGCAAAGTTATAATTATGGAGTTCATAGTGATTATAAGAGTGAGATGTTTGAAAATCAAGAAAAAATGTCCGATCATAGATGACAATTTTTAAGAAATCAAAACTTTATGAAATAAGAGTTTTAAAACACTTACAACAATCAATGAGATCTGCGTCGAGATGCTCTGGGCTTTTTCATTCTGTAGATAAAAAGAAGTGAGTGATAACTTTATGAAATAAGAGTTTTAAAATATTTACAATAATCAATGAGATCTGCGTCGAGATGCTCTGGGATTTTTCATTCTGTAGATAAAAAGAAGTGAGTGATAAAACTGCACACCAAAATCCTCAGTGTTAAATGAGGGTTTAAATTAGGAGAAGACCTTAATCTAGAATAGTTAATCGGGTTTTAAATGGTTTTCTGAAACACAGATTGAGTGTAGATTACTAACACCAGAACTTTACACTTTTAACCCTTGCTGCAAAAAAGGGCCAAATTCAGAAACACCCCTCACTGCAGACTGTAGTGCAGTGACATCACATATTCATTAGGGCTGGGCGATATATCGCATGACATTGTTATGTGCATTTCATCAGTAAAGCCAGTTCCTTGATTAGTATCAGAGATGGGCAGCATTTTAATTACAAAATACTCCAAAATAATTAAATACGTATTTCAAATACATGTCATTTTTATTTCCTTAAAAAAAAAATCAAATGTTATTCGCATCTCTTCAGTAAGGCCGGTTCCTTGATTAGTAGTAAATCACCTTCACCTGCTTTTAGATGGAAGATATGATGCAGATATGAGTGTTAAATTAACATTAGAGAGTGTTAAAGTTAATGAGCTAATTAAGTGATTAATTTAGTGATGATTGAGCATTATAGAAGACACCTTATGTTAACAAACATAATCACTGAAGGAGAAAATCACAAATTGTAAGCCACCGTTATGACGATCAGTGTTTGTTTTAGTTGGACTCTTGACCCTTATATTATGAACTTTAGATTTTGTTAGGCTGTTGTATTTGAGTTATGACTGCCAGATGAGTAAAGAAAAAAGTGATCAAATGGTTTTGGTTGTATTATGACAATCATCATTTGAACCTTATGTTTGTGATTTATGCTGTTGGTTACAGAATAACTGTGATTCTGTATAAATATCCAGAGTTTTAGATATAATATAAAGGATTTCTTAAAAGTTGTTTAAAAAATCTGTCTTTAAGCCACACACAGACATCAAGATTCAGTCAATGCATCTCAACAATGGTGACGAGCAGAATATTCAATTAGGAAAAGGAAATTACATAGACAATTCGGATCATAATTTATTCATACCGCAATGCATGATGGGAGCCATTAATGAGTTGTGATTGGTGGCAGCCACTCCAACATGCATTATTATTGCCACCATTGTTGATATTCACAGGCTGATTATTGATGTCTGTGTTTCTAAATAAATTCATTTGAAAGTGTTTGATCAAAATCCCCAGTGTTAAATCAACACTGCTCAGAGTCCATATTGTCCCGATCTAAAGAGTGTTAAAAGTGGTAAAGTTAATGAGATAATTAACTGATTAATTAAGGGATGATTGAGCATTAGTAATGGACACCTGTTAACAAGCAGAATGACTAAAGAAAAGAGAAACCGAACTACAGCTGACTTCAGCTAGAGTCTTAGATGAAATCAACTGAAGACATCTCTGAAGATCTCAGCAGAGGAGGATTAAAAACTCCACTAACAGCATTACCAGCTCCACTTATTACTAACCAGACTGACTTTATCTCTGTCAGACATCTACAGAAGTTTTTATTGAGAATTAACAAAGGTCTAACTCTTTGAAACCAATTTAAAATTAAAGAAAATGGACATCACTGTGAGGGTAATTCGGCCGGGGATTTTTATTTGGATGGGGGTAGAAAAATTCTGGATTCGGACGGCAATAAAATCACTGACTGGGTTTCAGAATTGGAGGTATGTCAAACCCAAAAAAGTAGAGTAAGTCAAGCCTGTTTCTGAAAGAGAGATAACTTAAACTCAGAGTCAGTTACCATGGTAACTTGTGAACCTGCACTGTAACAAAATCCTAATTTCACAGAAAATAACTGATTTTTTGACAACCATTTTCTTTCATTTTAAATTGTACTGAAAACATTGTAAAATTAAAAATAATATCTGCAAAATAAAAATGCAGCTGATATTTTAGGTATTGTTACATTAAAGACAAATTCCAGTCATTCACATTTTTTTACAGAAATTGATTGTATTTTTCATACAGTAATTTTCTGTTTTCTTAAATTACATACAAATTTATGTAAAATTATAAATAGAATCTGTAATTAAATGGGAACAAAACAGTTAAATGATTACATGATTAGCAGCTCAAAAAACTGTTACATTAAAGTAAAACGTCATAAATGATACCTTCATTGTAAAAAAAAATAATAATAATAAAATGGTCAAATGACTGGCAGCAAACACTGCTAAACAAAAAACATAAAATTAAATTAAAATATTCAAATTTAAATAAACTGAAAAAACACTGTTATTTCACAGGTATTTCCTGCATTATTATGATCAAAAAACGTCATTGTAAAAAAATCATAAAAATGGTCAATTGACTGGCAGCACAGGGTGCCAAACAAAAAACATAAAATTAAAGTAAATAATTCTATTTTAAATAAACCAAGAAATATTTCACAGGTATTTCCTGCATTATTATGATCAAATACCTTCATGGTCACTAAAGAAAACAAAATTCCAAGTGTTGAGATACTATAGAATGAAGTGAAGATTCACTCCTGAGCAGATGTCTGTGGTTTGCTCATGAACTCTGTGTAAGAAATGTGCATCTCGCCAAATATAACTAGATTTTTTATTTATATATGATAATTAATTGAGGTTGGCAAATAACTGAGGTTGGCACATAAGGATTTTTTTTACCTTCATTGTAAAAAAAATCATAAAAAATGGTCAAATGACTGGCAGCTATGGCTGCCAAACAAAAACCATTAAATTAAAGTAAAATATGTTAATTTAAATAAAATGCAAAAAACTTTTACAGAAATTTGATATCACCATGATTGAGATCAGTGTTTGCTTTAGTTGGGTTCTTGACCTTTATTATGTACTATTAATTTTTCTCTGGCTGTTTTAACTATGTATTCAACATATATTTATTATAGCATTGAAAGCAGGAGAAAATATCAGCTGATGTTGGTCATTTATTGGTGATGTTATAGTCATCATATGGTGATCTGATTCACTGATATGACAGAGAAATTCCTGAGTGTATCAATATTATGAAGCTGCAGACTCAGAGCCTGCATCTACAGTCCCCCACCCCCACCATTCTCAGACCCCTCGTTTTTCGAACACAGCGCCCCCTGCTGTTCAAAAGATCGAATAACACCCGCACACAGAGTACAGCGCACGATATCCAAATGCAATTAAAAACAATAGGATGCAATATTATGGTCTCCAAATAAATTATCCAATAAATATTTGCGTTCCCTGCTTAATGCATGTGCAAAAAAACTAATTGTTACTGATGGAAGGGATACAATTACAGATTGAACTATCTTCAGAAAAATAGTATGTGATATTATATTGCTACAATGTTTTTTTTATATTTTTTTATTCAAATTCCAATTTTTCTTTCAGTTCAACCTATAATGGTGTAATTAACATTACAATGCTAACATTACAATATCTGTTTTTTGATATTTTGAATGCGAAGCAAAACAAATCAGAATAGACAAAACACCAATAATAAACAATTCCTACTTTATTTAATGATCACCTAAACATCATCTTGCTGTAAAGAAAAAAGGAAGAAAAAACTGTGTTCGTGACTTTACTTTTCGTCTTCAATTCCATTAAAAAACTCATTTAAAAGTCACTTTGCATAATCATAAAATGATGTTGCTGGGTTCGGCAGGGGCAACTCCATCGATGTATGGTGTACCCTGGAATAGCCTACAACATAGGGCCGATAGCACATGTCTTATGATGCTTATGTTTATGTTGCTAAATTATAAACGTAAGCTATCTAAATATTTTCGGGGGGAAGAGGGCGAAAAAACATACATTAACGGCCCAAATCTTGTTACAAACTAACTTTACAAATATTCAGTGGACTATTCATAGGCTATGTTGTATCGCTGAGCTAAATTCGTTTTATTAAAAAATAAATCAAACGAGTAGGCTACGATTCGCTAAATAAAATTGAAGATAGCCTACTCACGTTTTGGCTTAAGTTCTTCACGTGTTCTGCACATGTTTATCCGATACAATTTGATAGGAGGCGCTGTCTCGAAAAACGAGGGGTCTGAGAATGTGGGAATCTGGGTGCAGGGGGACTGTAGATGCAGGTCTCCGAGTCTGCAGCTTCATACTACTCGAGTGTATCTGTTGAAATTACATTATAAATAGATGTGCTTAAGTTTTAGATGAAATCTATGATTGATGTAATTTTCCCCATGAACCTTGAAATATTGAAACAATATTTTTCTAGTCTGAAATTTAAGAAAACTATCTATTATAAAGAAAATGTTTGAGCTGTTCTTTTAAGAGTATGACATCAATAATCATCATATGAATCTCAACAATGGTGACAATCAACAAAGCCTTTATGTGACTATAGTAGTTCAGAGTTGATCACCATTGTAGTGATTCATACGCTGATTCTTGATGCCTGTGTGAGTCTGTATGATCCTGTCAAAACACTTTCTGTATTATGACTTGATAAAATATTAGTATCACGGCACTGCATGATCTTCTACAACAATATTGGATTTCAAAATTAACTACTAATATTTAACAAATTAATCAGATATTACACTCTTCAGGTGGTATCAATAAAGCAGTCAACTTCATGATGATCATTACCACTAATAAATAATCAGATCTTCTGAACTGAGATTGTCTTGGATTCCTACTATAACAAATATGTATCAGCGACACTCAGTTAAAGCAGTCAAAGAAAAAGTAATGTTAAAAGCAAAGGGTCCAGAGCCCCATTAAAGCAAACACTGATCTCCATCATGGTGGCATCAAACTTTATTATTTTACATAAAAAAAAACTTCAAAACATTTGTTAATTCTCAGTGAGAATGTTAGTATGCAATAAATAAAGTCTGTGTTGTAATAATGAGGAGGCAGAGATCTTGAAAGATCTATTAGTGTTTAATGTTCTGTTGGGATGTAAATTGTTTATTTATGGTGTGTTTTGAGGGCCAGCATTGTGTTGAAGAGTAGAGCCTGTGCTTCAGTTCAGGATGAGCAGAGTAATACTGATGAAATGCTGCATGTTGCTTTATTTAACTGACAGTAACTGTGTAGTTGCTGATGCAGTGATATATAGTCACAGTAAATCATACATCACTTACATTTTTCTTAATAAAAAATTCTGGAAATATGTGAAATAACTGTGTTTCTATTAAAAAGCTTAATACAGATTTTTACGTGGGAGCAGGTTTTCTTTGGGAAACCCAGAGTGTCTTTCGGTCTCATCTCCCTTTTTAAAGCGTAATCAGTGTTTAAATAATTCACGTTGCAAAAATTTTTTTCCTTGCTGAGTAATTTTTTCTTTCTTAAATTAAAGTAAAATTATCTGCCGGAGGGATAAGAAAAATAATCTTAATGCAAACGCAAACAAGATTATTTTTCTTACCCCCACTGGCAAATCATTTGTAAAATAAGAAATATACATATACATAAAAATTGTTCCTGTTGGACTGCTTTACACCCCATAATGACCCGAATGAGAAGATAAATAATGCTGTACTCATACCACATCTATGATGGAGGTCACATACAGGTCCACAAACGTTTGGACAGCAGGGATCCATGGCAACAGGGGTCGTTTGCTAGTCTTTTTGTCGGGCTGGTCCAAACCGAGAAGTTGAAGAAGTCCATTATAAGCTTCAACATAAGCTATATAATTGCAGTTTTCAGAATAATATCCAGATGCCCAACCTGTGAAGACTTTTTGTTATGAATTGACATACTGTTTCTAGTTACAAATCACTGTTCCATACAGTGTAAAAAAGTACAATCAACTTGGATTTTTAAGTCATATAAACTTAAATTTTTCTTAATCTTAAATCTTTAATCTTGTATAACTTAGAAAAAGCATAATCGAAAGAACATATGTTGATGAGTTCAAGCAATGTAAAAACACATTTTTTATGACTTATTAGTCATCATTTTTTACAGTGCAGAATTGAGATCTCTTTCACAATTTTTTGCACTTGAAAGGACAAATACACATAAATGATGTCAAAACATCTGTCTTGGCAAGTATTCTCATAAATACAGATGATTTTGTCTTACATCTATTGTCTTGATCAGCAGTTGAGCTAATGGTTAGTCAGAGCTACAGTCTTTCAATGACTTGAGCACTTTAATTAAATTCAATACCTCATAACTTGAGAAAATAAGCTGTATTGGGAATAATTACGGTTTCACTTTATTTGGATGGTCCCTTTTACACATTCAGCTGACTATAAGTAACGTTGCACCTACAGGTCTACTAAATCTCACTAGAGTGTTAATAGACAACGCATTCTCATCCTTTAGCGTCATATAGATCGAACGCCATATGACAAAACGGCGCTATACTACGCACATGGCACCCGTTATCGTTAATATAACACGAGCTGTGAGGGGTAGGTTTAGGTGTGGGGTAGGGTAGGGTAGTCTCATATTACACGGGTTCGCGTGAATATTAACGATAAAGGGTGCCATGTGCGTAGTATAGCGCCGTTTTGTCATATAGCGTTCTATACACTAAAGGATGAGAACGGGCTGTAATAGAGTATCAGAAGACTGCAGGGTTAGGCCAACCTGATCACACGGGAATTCGTACGAATTTTACGAGGTGGCTAATTTGTAACAATTCGTGTGACCTCACTCGTACGAATTAGTAAGATTTTTGCTAAATCGTACATATTTTACGAATTGGCCAATTCGTATGAATTCGTGCAAATGACCTACCCCTGACCCTGCCCCTAAATCTACCCAACATGTGGGTTTAGACAAATCACACAAATTCATACAAGTGAAGTCATATGAATTAGTACGAATTAGCCACTTTTTATTCACTCGTGAGAATTCGTACGAATTGGTCGTGAGATAGCGTAGGTTAGGCTTATAATAAGTTGTCAGACCAACAGACCCCCTCCACACACACACACACACACACACACACACACACACACACGCACGCGTGCATTATCTAATGTTCAATTTGAATTCTATCATAAAAACAATATTTGAAAGTATTTACTTACTGATTGAGGCCATAAAAAACAATAGCAGATACATGGTCACTAAAGAAAACAAAATTCCAAGTGTTGAGATACTGTAGAATGAAGATTCACTCCTGAACAGATGTCTGTGGTTTGCTCATATGAACTCTGTTTCAGAAATGTGCATCTCGCCAAATATAACTAGATTTTTTATTTATATATGATAATTAATTGAGGTTGGCAAATAACTCATGGGCACACACATGGAAGGGATTATAATGCTTAAAAAATATAAATAGTCAAATATTTCATGTAAAAAACTAGGATCATCAATCCTCTTAGGAACAATCCAACTGAAATATGAGATGATATTCCTCAGGGTAACTATGTAAGTTTCGAATGAATTAAGCAATTGCTTTGTTTTGCCTTTTTTATGTGTGTGTGTGTGTGTGTGTGTGTGTGTGTGTGTGTGTGTGTGTGTGTGTGTGTGTGTGTGTGTGTGTGTTTCATTTAACACCCTGTAATGTGCACATTGAGTAGTGTTCATTTCACATGCGCACACGGCCTACAGCTGTCTTGGCTGGGTTGTGATCGTATTGTTCATGTTGTTTTCAAATAATACGTAAAGACACAGAGTATGTGACATATTTAATGTCAAATATACTGTGTAATCACACTGTAAAAAAAATCAAATAAAATAAAAAACATTTTTTGATGGTACCTTTTGAACATTCTGTTGACTGTATAAGTAACTTTGCAACTATGTTAACTTACTCCCATTAGAGAATTTGTCTGTCTGTGTAATATCTGCTAACACTTTGATGCTCCTAACAATCAGATGAACAAAGAGAAAGGGTGATCTGATGGTGTTGGTTGTGTTTTAACAATCATTATTTTACCTAAATCACTGAACTCATATAGAGCATACTTCCTGAGTTAGATTTATTTTGATTGATTGTAGCAGCACTGTCCTATTACAGCATGATATTTCTTTAAAGTTTTTCTGATCCAAAACCATGATTTTTCATTTATTTATTTATACACGCAGACATCAAGAATCAGCCTGTGAATCTCAACAATGGTGACAATTATAAAGTATGTTGCACTGCATTCTGGTGTGTATCTCAGTGATTAGGCTCTATATGAGTTCAGTGATTCAGGTCAAATGATGATTATGTCAAAACACAACCAACACCTTCAGATCACCTTTTCTCTTTGTTTATCTTGGTGGTATAATTCAGCTACAGCAGCCAAACAAAACCTATGATTAATAAATTTTAAGGGTCAAGAGCCCAACTAAAGGAAACACTGAACAACATAATGAGGACTCAACATTTTATTTTCTCCTTTGGTGATTCTGCTTGTTAACATCAGGTGTCTTCAATAATGCTCAATCATAACTCTATTACGTAATTATTACACTCTTCTGTGTTCAACACTCATATTTTAACACTTTAAGGGGGGTTTCACACTGGCAGTTTAGTTCGGAACGGCCGGGGCACGGTTCGCATGAAAAATAGCTAATGTGAACGCTGTCATTACACCCGGGTGCGCACTGGGATACCAAATCCGAGACTACCTGGAGGAGGTGGTCTGAGTTTGGTTGCTTCTGAACCGTGCCGAGGTTGTTCATAACAAAGAACTTCCCAGAATGTTGGTCAAAGTTGCACTTTTGAGTCTAAAAAACGTTTTAGATGATTAAACTCTCTCTGTCTCTATATTTTCCATCAGAATGTCTTCATCTGACCGATGTTTGGATATTTTTCTTTCCGTCACCGTTCCGTTCCAGAGTTTCACCAAAGTTGCCCAGGACGTCTCTGCATTTGTGTTTCAACCGACCTTGAAATTTGAGAGTATCAGTTGAATTCAATTTATTTCCTCCCATTGTCTGATTTTTTTCCTCTGAACTTGCTGTGAACAGCAAACCTTTTGTCATTTACCTTGGTAGGATTATATATTTATTTCTATAGAATATTTACCAGACCAGAGCTATAGTGCAATATGTTTGTCTAACTTTAACACAATGCCAACATCGTGACAGCATCGTGCATTTATTATAGTGCTGATCTCCCTGAAGCAATGCAGATTCTCTTTATCTTCCCTGAACCTGAAAGACCACCAAACCCTACATTAGATTAAACTCACTTTAAAAAATTAGCTGCGTATTGAATAAAGCAGAAAATTGCTTAACTTATGATGAGTTAAAACAATGTAAAAACATATGTTGTCATAACGTATTATTGTTCATATAATTTTCTACAGTGTTGATTAGAAAAATATGCTGGGGAAACCGGGTGCAAAAGCACTTCCACAAAACATCTATATTTATATGAAATATTTCTTTTTTTTACAGTCGTGGAAAAGGATTGCTTTAAATTCCTCAAGTATGTTTTTTTTTTTTTTTCAAAGTTAGTTGTAATGCAAAGACTTGAAAAAACTGTTGGGACAACAATGCAACTTTATTTAACTGAAAATTTGCTACTTTGTGGATATAGGGCTTTATCTGAAATTGAACTGAATCAATACCAATTTTAACTCCACAAAACATCAATTTAATGTACTAAAATAGTTGATAGACATCACTGCAATACAGTCACTGCCTTTTAAATTTAGAAACATACAGCATATCATGATGATGGGGTTTGAGATACAGATGTTGTCTTAGTTATATAACTATACAGGTCCTTCTCTAAAAAATTAGCGTATTGTGATAAAGTTCATTATATTCCATAATGTAATGATAAAAATTAAACTTTAATATATTTTAGATTCATTGCACATCAACTGAAATATTTCAGGTCTTTTATTTTGGCATACAGCTCATCAAAACTCAAAATTCCTATCTCAATTTTTTTTTTGCATATCTCATTTGACCAATAATAGAAGTGTTTTTAATACAAAAAAGTCAACCTTCAAATAATTATGTTTAGTTATGCACTCAATACTTGGTCGGGAATCCTCTTGCAGAAATGACTGCTTCAATGTGGCGTGGCATGGAGGCAATCAGCCTGTGGCACTGCTGAGGTGTTATGGAGGCCCAGGATCCTTCGATAGCGGCCTTAAGGCCCGTACACACCGGGACGAATATCAGCGCGTGTTATTCGTCAGCCTTTTTCAACGCATTTTTTTGTGTTCACACCCAAGCGATTTTCGCTGACAATGAGCCGAGTGAACATGCAAATTCATTCCCTGACATTAGATGGCGCCAATTTGCCATGCAATACCACTCCCCAGATAGCAAACTGACATTGAATCAACGTGGAATATGACATCGAAACAACGTTGATCTGACATTGTTTTGCTCATCGAATTAACGTTGAACCAACGTCAGACGCGTCATTCTTTCAAAACTAACGGAAAATCAACTTGAAATCAACGCGTTGTTTCAACGTTATGAAAGCAAACCAATTTTCGATTTTCATTTAGCTTTGAAACATGCCGCGTCTGACGTTGGTTCAACGTTAATTCGATGAGCAAAATCAACGTTGTTTCAATGTCATGAGAGACGTCGTTTCCACGTTGATTCAATGTCAGTTTGCTGTCTGGGTCCATAACAGTTCTCTTTTATCAAGATGTTTGTAGTCGCTGTCACGTTTGTCATATAGTTATTTATGTTCTAGCACCAACGAGAACAGCAGCTCTACATTCATCTTGCCTTGCATCTTCCGCGTCTTATTTCTTCCTGGCTGTGTAGTAGACGGCGACGCGTATATCTTCTTCACCGTTGCATATGTGTGCTCGGCAAGACCGTTTTGTGTTTGAGCGCCCCCAAGTTGTGTTTTACTGTCTCTCCAGAAGCTCCAAACACGTGAGCAAAAGCGCCAATTTCATTGGTCGGATAGTTTTTGACACGGCGCGCAAACTAAAAGAACGAACCGAAAGCGTTTTTTTAAAAATGACGCTTTTACGCGTGGCGTTTGGCGGTGTGAACACATTGGTGCCCTTTGTTTAGTCACGAGGCGTTAAACGTCGGCGAATAACACGCGCGAAATTCGTCCCGGTGTGAACAGGCCTTTAAGCTCATCCAGAGTGTTGGGTCTTGCGTCTCTCAACTTTCTCTTCACAATATCCCACAGATTCTCTATAGGGTTCAGGTCAGGAGAGTTGGCAGGCCAACTGAGCACAGTAATACCATACTGATGATTTTGGCATACAGCTCATGAAAACCCAAGTCTCAAAAAAATTTGCATATTTCATCTCACCAATAAAAGAAGTGTTTTTAATACAAAAAAGGTCAACCTTTAAATAATTATGTTCAGTTATGCACTCAATACTTGGTCGGGAATCCCTTTGCAGAAATGACTGCTTCAATGCGGTGTGGCATGGAGGCAATCAGCCTGTGGCACTGCTGAGGTGTTATGGAGGCCCAGGATGCTTCGATAGTGGCCTTAAGCTCATCCAGAGTGTTGGGTCTTGCGTCTCTCAACTTTCTCTTCACAATATCCCACAGATTCTCTATGGGGTTCAGGTCAGGAGAGTTGAGCACAGTAATACCATGGTCAGTAAACCATTTACCAGTGGTTTTGGCACTGTGAGCAGGTGCCAGGTCGTGCTGAAAAATGAAATCTTCATCTCCATAAAGCTTTTCAGCAGATGGAAGCATGAAGTGCCCCAAAATCTCCTGATAGCTTGCTGCATTGACCCTGCCCTTGATAAAACACACTGGACCAACACCAGCACCCCAGACCATCACTGACTGTGGGTACTTGACACTGGACTTCAGGCATTTTGGCATTTCCTTCTCCCCAGTCTTCCTCCAGACTCTGGCACCTTGATTTCCGAATGACATGCAACCACTGAGCAACAGTCCAGTGCTGCTTCTCTGTAGCCCAGGTCAGGCGCTTCTGCCGCTGTTTCTGGTTCAAAAGTGGCTTGACCTGGGGAATGCGGCGCCTGTAGCCCATTTCCTGCAGACGCCTGTGCACGGTGGCTCTGGATGTTTCTACTCCAGACTCAGTCCACTGCTTCTGCAGGTCCCCCAAGGTCTGGAATGGGTCCTTCTCCACAATCTTCCTCAGGGTCCAGTCACCTCTTCTCGTTGTGCAGCGTTTTTTGCCACGCTTTTTCCTTCCCACATACTTCCCGCTGAGGTGCCTTGATACATCACTCTGGGAACAGCCTATTTGTTGAGAAATGTCTTTCTGTG